GGATATACACAATAATGAGAGCTGTTTAATTTTTATCTAAATTATGAAAAAATGCAGTCGAATCTTTGAAAATAATTCACTAGAAGTGTAACAAAATCCTTCCAAGAGCTATTATCAGAATTTTTCGATATTTTGTGTATTTGAATTGAGATTGTAATATACGATTCATACAGGGACGTATGCTTCGAACAAGAACGTAACGAGATTTTTAAAGCACACTTTTTTATTATAAAATATTTATAGCGTTTCATATTTGTGACTCATGATATAATAATTGATATTCCTAATAATAACGTTAGAACACGTTACAGTCCCTATATGAATATCTATTGATTCACGTATTTTTAATAGTTGAATTTGCTAAAAATAAAGTTAATATAATTTTCATTTGATTCACATCACTTATCGCCACGTCTATTATATTTTCATGTACATATAATTGAAATTTAAGGTATCTAAACATAGCTGATGTTGCTGAACTATAAAGACATATGGAGATCTCTCTATATCGAGATTATTTCTAAATTATTTTATATCTATAACAGCGAGTAGAATGGAAAATATTCCTTCTGGGTCGTAACGCCTTGTGCGTAACATTGATGACACGTGAGAGAACGGAATTATTGTCATTCAGTCGACGCGACGATCGTTGCTCGTGTTCCATCAAAGCTTTTCGCAAAGCAACCACTCCGTCCACGTTCGTATCGGTTATTAAAGCTATACTCTGCACGTGATACGTTGGCATTATACCCGAATAACAACGTAATTGCACATTTCACGCTAATATTCGATAATATTCAAGAATATATTAATTATAAAATAATTATCCCCGTTGTTCCACGTGACGTTCGACTAAACACTCTTAACGGCGCACGTAAGCGCAGTAAGCTTATCGCGCCGCGTTGACGTGACGTCAGAGGCCCTGAATTATAAAATAATTGCGCATTTCGCAAGAAGAGAGGAGCACAATAATATTTATCGACGCGCACGAGTGAATCGCTAACTAATTTTTTCCCCTCCACCACCGCGAGCTTCTGCGGTCGCCCACGATAACCTGTATGCCGCGGCCAATTCGCCGTTGCGCTTAATTTATTCGCTCACGTCCGTCCGTTCATACATTCAACCATCCGGCCAGCCGGGTAATTAAAAATTATAGCCGCATTGTTTATGCGTTCCAGCGCTCGCCGCGTTCCACGAATGGCGAACTCGTCCGCTCGGAAATCTCGTCGCTGCTGTTTAGCGTTTTTCTTTTACGATCCCGCGGAACGATATCTCGCGCCCGGTGCCCTCACTAAGTACCCGTTCGATTTCTAAATTACACCTGTCGCGAATATAAAACGAGTTACGGGCTACGCGATAGATCGGACGGCGTAATGGCGTGGCGATACATATCGAATTCTTTTTAATGCCTGTATCGCGTGTTAACTGTAAAAACGTGATCGAGGAGGCAGATAAGCGTGTACATTTGTAGGATTAATATATCGTTTACTCGCCACCACCACATACGAAGCCTTCGCTTACTCACCGTGCTCGCGAGCGCGCGCGTCTCCGTATATTTCCTCAATTATCAATTACCGATTATTATGCCCATGACACGGCTTCCCGCGGCGCGTGCGGTCGATTTTCTTCTCTTTCGCTTTGTTTTCCGTACGTGTATTCAAACGATTTACACCCGCGCGTCGTCCCATGTTCCGCGAATCGAGCTTGATCGGCGCGATATCCCGCCGGCGTCGAACGAAATGGACGTATTCTCACTCACGAAATGCATAAATATTTTTCTTTTCAGATGTACTTTTTCTTGTTTCCATCTCTCTCTCTCTCTCTCTCTCTCTCTTTTTTCTTTTTCCTTTATACATAAGCTGTATCCTGTATCAGCTCAAAATTTGCAATCGACTTCTACCTACCCCTATCAAAATAAAACCGATTTCAACGTTGATTCTATCATATATTGACTACTACTGTGTTGCTTATATAGATACAACATGAGAACGAAATCTTTATCTACAGGGAGCCTTAATGATATAAAGCGGTGTAAAGTTCATAATTTATAATAATTCTTGAAATAAATAAATAAATATATATATATATATATATATATATATATATATATATATATATACACATATTCAAACACTTATATACCTTTTTCTATTATCTGTGCATCTTTAGTAGATCAAGTGATGCATAAATATGACATTAATAAAAAGTACGAGAAATACAAAAATACTAACTTCATATTTGTAATATTGTGTATACGTGTCTACTTCAATTTCGTTTCAAATTAAAATACATTATTTAGATAGTGAAATAAATGTGTATACTGAGCAAAATTTCCATCGGACAAATCGATTAAATGATGTATCCGATTGTTATTTTTATTGTCCGATCAAGTGATGGATACCTTTATCCGATGAAATATCCGCGGAAGTTGCCGATGCAGTTACCGATGAAACCTAATCTAAATTAGTCTCCCTTTGTATATCCGTTGTAACTTTTATCGGATAAAGGGACGATTTGATCGGACGAAATGAGGAAATTTGGTCGGACATTACACTTGATTGGATATATCCGTTTGTTATTTTATAATTGGATTATCCGACCAGATGTGATCGGATATTTTTTCTTAATGTAGGAGTGTAATTTTGCTTGATAAATATTAGATTTACGAATGACCCCCTCAATTCACCACTGAAAATACGGCACTAATGGACAATATATCCATAAACAGATGCGTTGGATTCATCTTTGATGTTAAGCCGTATGCACACATCTTATTTTCGGGCTCTCAAATGGTTGAGAGTGGAACAGTTCAGGCGATATTTCGTTTGCTTCTTGCTTTCCTTCATCGTCAAGCGCAGGATACCTGGTCTGCTGTATGAAACTTATAATTACAGAATTGATAAATCCTCAAAATTAACCAGACCGCACCTGACCTGCTCGCTGTCCTCGTATGTAGGAAATATATAATAAATCTTTCCTGATAACCTCTGCTTTTTAATAGTACAATTTAACCTCTGCCCTGCGTGGCCTTGACTGTCTCAGTATCTTCAAGATTTTTAGCTTTATGGTTATTTTTTTCTTCGAATCAAATTCAATCTTACTTTTCTTTTTTATTGTGTTATTTTTATATCATATTTTCATTCGCTGTCTCTATACTGTTTATATTGTTCTATCTCTCTGTCTTCGCCTAATGACCTTTTGCATTGTTATTTTTCGCTCGAAGGGAAGTTTCCCCAGATAGCGTATAATAAATAAATATCTATCTATCTATCTATCTATCTATTTATCTTTCTCCTTTCTATATCGCGAACGAGAGGACGAGCAGAACGGCGCGTCCGTATCGAAATTACTTTGCGTTTATTACGCGCGCTGCCAAAATTTTTTAAATTTCCGCTTTGCCATTCCCTCCCTCTGCGGAATCAATGGGCGCGCGGAGATACCGCCGTCGATGGCGCGGCGTATTGTCGCCGCCACTCGTCTTCGGCGCGTGCGATAATTTATTAGTCATTTCTGTCGCTTTTCTGCCTCCCCTGGAGAAACGTAATTTTTCTCCTCACTGAGATCGGCTGTTTCGGGCACGATTGAGCGTTTTATCGTCACGCTCGTCGCAATAAAGCGCACTCGTTCACCGAGTACGACTCGAGTCGGCCGAGAGTCGTGTCGAGGACTCCGTCGAGGGACAAGCTGCCGTTGAATGGAACGAGACCTGAATTTGCGTGATCGCTAATTGTGACTGAGCGGTGCTTCTTTGTGACCGACGTGCCCAACACACCGCACTCTCTCTCTCTCTCTCTCTATCTGCTCACGTATCCGAGAGCCAGCCAGATTTCCTGCTCATTGTCAGAAGTAGACGGCCCTCTCGGCACTTGTTGCTCGCCATCGACATTTGTCTGGCGCGCTATTATATCGCGCTGCATTTCGCTTCCGACGCGCGCGCGCGCGGCACTCTTTGTCAAGTTAGGCTCGTCTCCGTGGGCACGTCGGCGTCCACAAATGCGCATTCGCGCGTTTGTCTCTTTCCGTGTCGCCGCCTCGTCTGTAACTACTCGGCGGGGGAGTATCATAGAGAGGACTCTGTCGTGATAACCTGACCTGACCGTGGGAGAAGCGTGGCGAAACAGCGGGAAACCGTTGTCTTCGAGTCGTAGACTCGACTTGCCGAAGGAAACGGGGAAAATACGACGAATTGATCGTAAGTGCGCGCG